TTCTAAATCCTCCTCTGAGCCCGGAGTAGAAAAGGGTAAGAATTTTAACACACCCGTGGAAAAATAACTTGTTTGCAAAACTTGTCACAGTTCATTAAGATCTGGGCAGATAAGGGAAACAACCTTTCTGTTCACTGGGCACAGTCCAGCAGGGCTCCAATGGTGTGTTTGGACAGCACACGCATCCCTTCTCACTGAGCTCCTGCTGCTGCTGTGTGGCCACCGCAGTATCAAGTTTTGATAATCTAAAGTTAAATACACGTGTGGTACAGCCCAGGGTGCCTGCTTGCTGCCCTGACAGACTCCTACCACGGGGAGAAAGAATAGAGAGCGCTCGCAGAAATTCAGCGCTCATGCCCAGAATGAAGTGGGCACTGTTCGATTCGAAACAGCTACAAAGAGGGATCGGTTCCTGCCGTAGGGCCGTGCTGGATAACTGTGATGCACTTCACAAACAGGACTTTGTGGAGTCACCATCTCAGCAAACACTGAAGAAGAGAAATAATAGCTTTTACTGCCATAGCCTCTTTCCTTAAGCTCATTGTGAATGAGAGCCCTCATGAACAAGCCATTTCAGTGACTGTTTTCCATACAAAACCACCCTTTATTAGTGAAGCACTACAGCCCTAACTCCTTCATTCAGTTTTACACTCAGTTGTAATAAAAATCCATTTGTTTGAATGGGCCCAAACAGTAAAAAAAAATAAAATATTAAAGAAGTCAAAACTGTAATTTACTACCAAACAGCTTTTTGACACAGTGCAAAACCACTGTTGTTTCTTGCCTTGCTCCACACCATTGTAATCTGCAAACCGTGAACCTAGAACTGACTCCTGAAGAAACAAACCTTCGAGATAAACAGCCTCCTTTCTGTTTCCAAGTAATGGTTGTGCTCAGCCATCTGTTCTTACATCCTTGTTGGATTGCCCTTACAAATCTTAGTTTGCTCACAGTACTCCAAGTGTTTAGAACACCAAGTATGGATGCAATCACGTCATATTCTGCCACAAGTTGCACCGATATTTGGTCTCTTAATCTGCATAGCTGAGAAAAATGTATTTCTACTCAGTGCATCTAGCACCTTGGGGAGGGGGGAGCAGGGAGGTTGTCAAAAAGAGCACAGCAAGCTTCATTATCTTCAGAGCTATGTGCTGTCACAGCCACCACTGATAACTCTGCAACAGGTGAGTCTGGAACAATGAGGTGCAGTTAACGCAACTTGGGAGCTATTCTGGAAGCTGAAGTCCAGCTGCTGGATTTCATCAAGTATTTCTTGCTGGTATGATAATAATTTTGTTTCTGAAAGTTAAGTTTAGAATACCAACAACAAGATGAATAATCGTCACTAAGACTGAAGAAGGAGTATTCAAAATAGAAGCCATTTTTTTTATAAGCTGTGAAGCTTAAGCTTGTTTTCTAGGGTAGAGGAATGTGATGCAGCCACACTGTTATCTGCTGAAGTCAGAACATCCAGATCCATGACTGTGTTCCAATGTTCAATGAGACATTTAATTTTTCATTATTTTGTGCTAATGAGAGACTGTTCTCTGTATCAGCAAGCTGCCAATCCTACACTGAGAGACTGCCCCCCATATCAGTGAGCTGCTAGCCTATGCTACACTGAGGATCTGTCCTGGAAAGATTATTTGAGATTCCCAGAATTCAGGATATTTGGGAAAAGCCCAAAAGAGTCAAACTACTTATGGAGATGCCTCTCACTAGTTGTAGGAGAATCCATTTCATAATCTGGATATGGGAGACTGGGACAGTGCTCTGGGAGATGATCAACAATATGCAATGTCTTTTATATGAGGAACAATTAAGTAGCACAGGACTTTTCAGTCTGGAAAGAGAACTTGGAATGGATATAACAATTTAAATTTGTGAGCACACAGTTTTGGTAGTGATCACCTGTTCACTGTGTGTTCCAGTGAGACAGGTTTAAACTCAAAAGAAATAAGGTAGGTTCTTCCTGCAACAGAGAGCAGAGCTGCAGAAGCACTTACCAAATAATTTTACAGCTGCAGAAGTTGAGAAGACCCTGACTGTGTACTTGGATGGCAGATCCACGGAGGATGCAAAACTGACAAGTCATGAAAAGTTCAAGAAAAGCCTCCTTTGTAAATCGTTGGGAAGATGGGACAGCTTTACAGGGAACTATCATGTTGGCCTTTTTCTTACCCTTCCCTGTGTGTCTGCATGAGGCCATTATGTGAAACAATGCTGGACTAAAGGGACTCTTGGCTTGAACTCGTACAGCTGCTCCTTGGTTAGAATCTTATCAGAACCACAGCTCTGACTTCTCTTAGAATTTATTCTCCTTGGGAAACGAGTGCAATCTTTAGTACAATAGCAATAACAGCAAAAGCTGAAGAAATCAATCAATCAATTCACATTTCACTTTCAAGGTCATAGTGCTGACCACTGTAACTGCACTGTCTGCCTGAGAAGCTGTCTTATGACCTTGAGTCTTAACGTTGCACTTGGAATTACATATAGGTTTAAAATTGAAAAACTGAGGGGATACCTTTTTACTTTAAAATGTAGATCTTTAGTATTATTCCCAACAAATATTTTGCCAGAAATCTAACAGGTCTGTAGAGTCACAAACAGTACGAGTGGATTCTGATACCTCAGAACTTGCTTTGGCTAAGATGGTCAAGATTGTTGTTAAATTTTTCTCAACTTTTCTAACGTGTTAGAACATGAAACATAAACGCTGACCTCCCAAGCACTTGCAAATCGCTTTGAGATACTAATGCTTCCTTTAACAGCAGTATTTAAGGAAGAGTTTAGCATGCCTTTCCAGATACTGGGAATGCTAGATACAGAACCATCAAGGAAGTGAATTCATTTCTTCGAGGCAGCTCAAAAAATTCCACAGTTCATATCTGGGGGAGTAAAGGACTAAAATAACCTGAAGCTATGGAAATACAGGTAAACAGATAATAGAAGGTTAGTGGAGGAGGGTGATGCAGACACACCTAAGAGGCTCCACAAAGAGCCAACTTCCAAGTGTGGAACAGTGACAGCACAAGTGAACCAGATCCTGCAGAGCAGAGCAACTTGGTGGTGAGGAAGTCAGATGCAGTCAGTTGCAGTTCAGCAACTTCCTCTGATTTTCTCCAGCCTCCTGGAGCCCCAAGGCTTGAGTTTCACGCAGGTAGGTCTGAGGTCACTTAGCTCAGCCTAGCTCAGAGCTCAAGGACAGCATACAGGTACTAACAAAACCCTTCCTGTTGTCACACAGTTCCACAAGGAGATAATTTGGCATCTCTGCACACAGCACTGTGTTTCCAAGGCTACTGGGGTGCTCAGCTTCAAGGCCATAACAATGGCCTGAGCTACAAATTACACCATACCCAGCTTATACTTTTCAGTGAATTAGAGTTGGGTGAGCAGAAAGAAGTAATTAATTTTAAAACACTTGATAAACAGCATTTGCACTTTAGAAGTCAGTAAGTCATCTCTACCTCTGCCCTAGTCATCTCTAGGAAATCTTTTACAACAAAGACTAGGACTTAAATGACTGATGATTTCCAAATATGTGTGAATGAAACAAGAATTCCTATCTCTCAACATCTACTCATCAGCAGCAGGAACAAACGTAACCACATTCCTAAAAAATTACACAGCTCCTGTCAGCTTTTCATTTATGTTGCTGGACTTAGAGCCGAAACAAATGGAAGCCATTTGAGGCTCTTCCTGAAATAGTTACAAGAATTGGAACAGAATTATCATTGGTTGCTAAATAAAGGAAAAACTGTAGTGTAGAAACTCTGGAATCATATTATCTTTGCTCCAGACACTCAAGAGATTACTGCTCTAAAAAAATAAATCTGGCCTAAATCTGGCTCAGAAATGCAATGGGCTCCAGCTTTCTTATATAAATGCTTGCAACAGCACCAGTACAATGGGTCAGTCCATGGAAACACATGAATAAGAGGTATTAAGAAGTATTTATTTGCTGCATACACTCATCCCAAAAACCTCTGTGCCAGGTCTTGCTTTCCTGGCTTCTTAGAGGGGGGGGTTAAATCCTGTGTGTGTGTGCAGGGCTTTCAAAAAAAATGCTGAACCATGAAGTAACACACAGTGTGCAATACAGGTCATTAAATTCACACACATAATACACATACATGTGTAGCTATCAATTTGTGCCTTCAAACCTCAGATGTGTGTAAAATAATCTTCAAATAAAATCTTATCATTAGTGAATACACATATTTACATATCTGTGCCTCTGCACAAAACATGCTGAATCACAGAAATTAATGTTAAAATACTTTATGAGGCTGGCTGACAAGAGGAAAATGAGTTTAATAATATCAAGAAATTTAATTACACCGGTTACAGAATAACTGATTTGTTTCCTTTTATTTATTTTCCTAAGATATTTGCATTACACATAGCCTATATTTTATTATAATTAGTTTTGAATGATTAATAGTGAAGAATGCCTGCCCTTGTACTCCTGTAACGTGCAATACAGATACAACAATGGTTTTTCTTTTCTGTTTTCAGATGGGTGGTGAACAGGGGTTACTACTATGTGTGCAGCAGTGTCCCTTTAAGTAATCTTTTTTTTGGCTGTGCATCCAGGGCAGCTAATAGTTTTATCAAATACCCTTCACAGCAAGACGACTGTTTCCATGGAAACTGTAGAGCAATCATCCATTATTCTTGCAAAGATTTCTCTCAGCTCTCACCTAAATACAGGTAGCTACTTTCTCTCAAACTACAATAGAACAGGCAAATTCATTTTACAGGCTGTGTGACAACTCAACTCCAGAGCTTCCTGTTGGAGACTATGGGGAAAGTGGGGCCTACAGCACAAAATTCCAAAAGGGACATGCAAAGAAGCCCTAAAGAAATTTTAGAATAGCCACAAATCCTGTCCAGTCTAACATAAAATACAGCTTATAAAGAGGATGGCAGATTCTTTCCTTACAACTGTGAAACGGATAGGAGACAGAGTCGACCTGAGCTTGGTCACCTACCTCTCTCAGCATGTTGTTTTCTTTTTCCTTCTGTTCAAGAAGGCTTTCCAAGTGGTGCACGTGCATCTCCGCCTCAGCCAACCGCCTTGTTCGCTCATGATCCTCCTCGGTGGCTTTTGCTGACAGACCTTTACTCTGCAGCATCTCCAGCAGCTTTTTGATGGACTCGTCACGCGCATTTAAGGTCTGTTTCTGTGTCTCAATACGCAGTTCCATCTCCTCCAGGGTTTTACGTAGCAGGAAGAGCTCCTTGGCCTGGCGCTCGTGCTCTGCGTGGAGTCGCTGGAAGTTTTCCTCTGTCAGCTCTGCCACGAAGGGCTCGCTGGTTCTGGTGCTGCTGTCCTGCTGGAACAGCTGGTTCAGGTCTCGCTGGATCCGAAGCTCATCTTGGAGAGCCTGGATAGTCATCTGCATATGCTGAAAGAACAAATAAATGAATAAAATCAGAGGATTCCCTCCACTGGAGAAATAAATAGACCACTGTGAGCCACATCAGTCCTCCTGAACTACCAGCTGAAAGGCAACCACAGCACCAAGAGACCAACATTAGTTTTTCAAAGCAGAATTAAGGTAGAAGTGGGTGATACTACAGAAATTTCCATTCCCTCCTTCTATGCCTGGCAGAAGTTGCTTAACACTTTGAAGATTCTTGCTCGAGTGACTCTACCACTTCCATCAACTTGAGTGAGTCACTATTTCAAATGGGAAATGTCAGCAGGCATTTGTCAGTAAGCTGAGAGCTTAAAATACTTCTCTTTTCCAAATGTTCACCTAGCCTATAGAAGAATTCTGCATAAGAAGTCCTAGACCAGAATTACTATCTTGACAAAGCAAAGGGACACGTGGCTATTAGAATTTACATACTCTCTAATAAAATGTAACCAGCCACGAAGCCTGCCAAGGTCTTCAGTATTAACACTACACACGTAGCATAGATTTCCCAGTTAACTTACAGAAGAAACTTCAGCATGTCAGGAAGAGCTACAGCTACAGAAAACTGGATATATGCTGGCTGGGGAGAAGGGTCACAACATAAAATTTAATGCATGAGGCTTTTAGTACAAAACAGAAATTGCCACTTCACAAAGAGGAATGTGAAGTCAATCAAATGACCAGCAGTAATTTGTGATTGTGCAAGACAATAGATGCTGTCTCAATGATGGTGAATACAGTGGGTTAATATAATGGGACAATATAGCAGAAACAGAGTTTGTCTAAAAAAAATGTCCTCACTTCCTATTTAGATAAACATGCTTTTTGTTTTCTGCAAGACAGAAGCATCAAGATAATAACAGAGAACTACAAACACACTGAGCAAAGATTTGATTACCAGGAATGAGATGCACACCGAGTAATACATCCCTACTCCCTTGAGCGAGGCAGACGTGCTTACAATTTAGTCTGAATGTGAGCAAGTCAGATCCTTGGCGTCTACCTTTATATTGCAAAAATCGGTGTCTGCAATACAGCAACTTCCCATATTCATTAGGCTAAAGTACTAGTTAGTACAGGTTATAATCTGTGCTCAAGCTTGATGCAGGTTAAGGTCTCTAATGGTGCCAAATCAATAAGTTTTACATAAATCCAAATACTTGATTCCACTCAAGTATTTGTGAAAAAGAGGAGTTGTAAAAAAGTAAAAAGATTTGGGTTTAAGTATTACTTCAAAAATATATTTATCAAAACTCTTATGTAAAATGCTTTGGAGATGTTAAAAAGGTGTCTGGACGTGGCCCTGGCAACAGGCTCTGGGTGGCCCTGCTTAAGCAGAGGGGTTGGACCGGCTGACCTCCAGAGATCCTTCCTATCTCAACCACTCTGTGATTCTATGAAAAGACAGCAGACACTATTTGTAACAGTTACCTACATTTAATCTGTTTTAGAAACATAAAGGGTTAGTTTGTATTGATGGTGCATAAAGGCAGTCCAATCCCATTTTCTTTAAAGGAGTCAATACTTTAGATTGAGTACTTGCCCTCCTTTTGTGTTCTGGCCTAAGAAGAGCTTTTCAAAACCAAAGGTGCTGTTACACATCCATCTGACATAAGTCCACACTGCTACTACAGTCCAGCTATCTGTCCTTCCTTAGGTGGCTGTCACTGACAACTGGAGCAAAACTTCACCTGGCTGAAAATCAGCCCCATCAAAACCAAACTAAATGTCTTTCCAGCCAGATCTCAGATCCACAGGACAGTGTGACTACATCAGTGCTGATCCTGGTGCAAAGTAGGGCTGGAAGGAGCTGGGAGAGAAGAAAACGGAACCACCCTTTATGGTATCAACATAAACTGAAATCAGCTTAAATACACAGCTCTGTGGCTGCTGTATTGGTCTTTTCTTCCATTTCAATAACACAATACTTGGCAGTTACTAATTCGGTTAATCTAAAACTACACTTTGTGTTGTACAATCTGTGTGACACCATAGCACAGTACATTAGGTGAGGGAGTAAGCAATTACTCTGTTCTAAGAGGTCCATTGTGGATGCTCAGCTTTGTTTTCAAGTAAGAGATAAAAAAATATCTGAAGAGAATCAACATGGTTTTTAAGAATGTTTTTAGAAATCACTCTTTTTTTAATTAAAGATCTCAGCTTTAAGTTATTGTCACTTACCAAACTACAGTCAAAGTGAGAATGTCAGAACAACCTTCAAGCCTTAAAACTGAGGCTCTACAGGTAGGCAATCAAAACTACTACATCTGTTCAATTAATGTATGTTGATTGAGCTGTAAGAGAAAACCTGCTGCACTCATTAACAGATTTGCCTCGTCTGTAGCTACCCAACATCAATAAAGCCAGCAGGGCTACAACAGTAGTGAGAGAATGCCCTCAAATTTTGTTAAAATGAAACAATAACATAGAAAAACAGTAGATATAACTTTACAACTGCACACATGAGTTAACTCCATTTGTATTTGAGAAGCCCTACTTATTCACAGCCCAGCTGTGTGTTGTTCCTCCAGCTAACAAACAAATTCCCACATGCTTCCACCTGCCTCTCCACATACTGCCACTTCAGCATTTCCTTTCTCCCAAGCGAGAAAAGAGCTTCTTCCGAACAACCACATTATCTACTAAATGAAATTACTTCCTCCACTCAATGTCGTCTCGGAATCAAACTTGGGTTATTTATAAACATCAATGGACCACATCACCACAACTAAATGCTTGTATTTTTATCATTTGATCTGCTGTGGAATGTCACTTCAGGTTACATAGACAAAAACTGTGTCTCAGACCCACAGAAATTATTTCCCCCAAAGCTTGAGAAGTCTCCATGGAACTTCTGGGGCAATGAATCAAAACCTATTATGATTCAACACGTGATGTGGGAAAAAAAATTTAGACCAGTGACAAACAGGATTTATTGGTATCCAGCAGTCTTTTAAGTAAAGACAAGGGAATCTGGAATTTGGAGCAGCCCACAAAAGTGGTCAACAACTGCCTGTAATTCAGTTTCCCCAGGAAAATGAAGAGGTGGGGTGAGAGGAAAGGTTAGCACCAAGCTTATGAATAACTATCACTGTTCTCTGAATCACTGCTCAGTTGAGAACAAACTTCATTATGTGAAAGGTAACTAGAAAACACACCACAGAAAAGTTATTCTATGCTTTTCACACCCACTCTTTTCCAACATGCAGAATGTATGCAAAATGGGTTCTTTCCTCTGCTTTCTGAAAGATTTTATGATTCTCACAATAATAGAACAATATCCTTTCTTAGCTGGCGTCTTAACTGCTTTTTTAGTTAAAATCACTTGTCTTCTATATAATTTCAAAGAAAATGTCCTTTTCCCTCTGAAGGAGAAAACAAGTCTTACTAGCTTCTCTTTTATTTCTTAGCCCTCACTTTTAAAACAGTGACTATTCCAGAAAGGCAAAGTATTTCCCAGGCTCGTGCAATACTGGTCACTGATGCTTAACCCTGTGCCTAAGACCTGATTAGAGACTTCAAGAAAACTTGAAAAATAACATTGAAATAGTCTTCTCTAGAAATTAGCATGTAAAATTACTTTTAATACCACTGAGCTTTCTTACGTCAGACTGTACGGAATAAGTACCAATCATGCTTTTCTTAAACAGTTCAATGTAGATAAAGTAATTAAAGTCAAAGGAATTATGAAGAACCTGTACCTTGCTTGAAGCTTATCGCTCTTATCTCAGATCTTGAGGATTCCCTGTTACATTCAAGTAACAAAAGCTTGTCTTTAAGCCTCACTACAAATTATAACCACACCTGCAAATCACAGAGATATTTTTGTGAGCACACTTCTCTAATCTTGCTGATTTTGTCTAACATACTTTTCTCTTGACAGAGATAAGGACCTTCAAGCTCACCTCAAACGTAAATCCTAAAACTGCACGGTGCAAACACAGCCTCTTACACCAGGTGTTCCTCTGCCTGTATTACTTCCATGGGCCAACCTGAAGTTCATTAACCAGGCTCTACACAGGGACAGAGTTTGACCTTCATCCAGCAGCCCAAAATTTACATCTATAAGTAGCTGAACGTGATTCTACCTTTGCCTCCACCTGCCAGGACTCAAATTCACGTTTCACACACCTTGGCAGATTGGTTAGATGAGCTTCCAACCGGACTATATGACTACAGCCAATGATGGAGAAGTTCCTTATATTTGGGTTCACAAAGCAGTCCTGCTGTTGCAGTCCCAGGAAAATGCAACATACCTACTGCTGTACTGGTGAGTTTGGGAACCTTGCTGCAGGCAGCTCTTTTCATCTCTCTCTGTTGAAGCTTTTTCATTTTGCATAAAATATTTAAAGATTCAGTAGGCCTGACAGAAAATATTAAAGAGAGCACAGCTTCTTCTTCTAATTGGGAGAACACATAAGAACAGAGAGACCTGAATAGCAGTACTTCCAATTAACTTAAATGTTTATCATCTTACCATTCCAAAGGAAGTGAGAGATGAGCATCTTTAACATTCTCAGTCCGAAAAAGAAACTTCAGCCAAGACCTGTATTCTAAACCTACATTTTAGATCAAAAGGAGGCAGCCATTGCTACAACCAAGATTTTGAAAGAAAGGATTAAACTGTGATATCCTTTTTAAAGAAAAGGATTTCCACATTCATCTTTGCAAGACAGAGCTTGATTTATCAAGCTACAGCGTTTAAGATTCCAATATGAATTTGTCCATTTGGTTTTGGTTGCCTGATTTAGGCTACTCACACTGCAGATACTGACTTTGTACCTACCATAATCAGATATGTAACTCATCCCATTGTATATTCAAGTCCAAATGCTTAAATTAGAACTGTGGGTTCTACAACCCAGGTGAGGCACCTAGACACCAAACACTTCCATAGTTAAGTTCTCCTTAATCTCCTGGATTTAAATCCTAAGTAGGTTAAACTAGGGAAATTAATTTAACTTCTGGAATACCAAGAAAAAATT